GTCCTTCCTTCTTTCTTTCCTCCCTTTCCCTTTTCCTCCTCCTCCTCCTTCCTTCCTTCTTTCTTTCTTCCCTTTCCCTCCTCCTCCTCCCTTCCTTCCTTCCTTCTCCTCCTCCTCCCTCCTCCCTTCCCCTTCTGTTCCTTCTTCCTTCCTTCTTTCCTCTTTCCCTCCTCCTCCCTCCTTCCCTTCCTCTGTCCCTCCATCCCTCCCTCTCTTTCTCTCATCCTCCCCCCTGCCTCCTTCCTTCCCCTCCTCCTTCCTACCCCCTCCCCTTCCCTTCTGCCTTCCTTCCTTCCTTTCTTCCTCGTGGTGGTGCAGTTATTAGAGTGCAGTACTGCAGGCTATTTCTGCTGACTGCTGGCTACTTGAAATTTGGCAGATTGAATCCCACCAGGCTCAAAGCTGACTCAGCCTTCTGTCTGTCTGAGGTGGTAAAATGAGGACCCAGATTATTGGGGGTCAAGAGGCTGACTCTGTAAAGCGCTTAGAGAGGACCGTAAAAACACTGTGAAGTGGCATATAAGTCTAAGTGTTATTGCTATATTGCTATTCCCTTTTTCCCTCCTCCTTCTCCTCCTCCTCTCCCTCCCTCCCTTCCTTTTTTCTTCCTTCTTCTCATAAATTTAAACTACTTTTATACATCCCTAACAATTTCTCTTCTGATGATATACCAGAAGTATATCGTTTTATAAAAATTCTCTTTAAGGTTGTAACCGGATAAACTTCAATCCTGTCATTCGTACGTTTTCCCCTTGTTCCACCTGTTTGTTATCACCAAAAGAAAAAGAAATCCTTCGCCTCCTTTGTCTTACATGCGGTCACTTCTTGTTCTCCTGTTTCAAATTTCAAGAAATGCTTCCCTATTTCAGCAATTGCAGGTTCATCATTGGTACAGCATTCTATTGTGAAGTCAGTCTTACAAAGGCCCTTACATTCTTTTCTCTATTTTAAATCTTTCTGATAATTGTAAATAAGAGAACCACTTGCAAATTAGATCCCTCTGCAACTTAGTCCTCTTGATTTTAATTTACATTTCAGAACATTTTTGCAGTCTGCTTTATATTTAGAAAAATAAACTCATGCTTACATCAGTACCACTTTGGCTGAGCAAAACATTTGGGCCTAGTACAGGCAGTTCTTGACATACAACAGTTCATTTATTGACAGTTCAAAGTTGTGTCAGAGTGTATTCATGAACCGGAATACAGCATGGTAACAAGGGCAGCCAATGAATAGGCATAGCAACTAAGTCAGCCAATGAGGACTGTTTGGAAACTGAAACTGGAAGAGCCTAGGCGTGGCTGTACATTAAGCTCTGCAGCTATGTTGAGCTCTGAGTCTGTCTGTTGAAAATGAAACTGCTTCTCTCCTCTGATGTGTATCTTGCTTGCCTGCTGAAATAAAGTGAAACTGATGTCTGTTTCTGAGCTCCTGAGTTCCTGTTCTGCTCTGAACCTGTAACATGTCTGCTTCTGTTTGAGTTTGCTCCATGTTGGAGAAATCTACAACTGGTATTGTAAAATTTACTTTATGTGTTTATAAAGAAGTTAAATGAAGCCCCAGCCATCTGTGCTTACTTTTCTGGCGCTGAATTTACGCTGCAATACTCTGAACAAGTTACAACTGCCCTGAAAAAAGTGACATAGGAACATTTTTCAGACTTACGACCATTGCAGCATCGTCACAGTCACATGATCAGAATTCAGATGCTTGGCAACTGACTCGCATTTATGACGGTTGCAGTGTTCCGGGGGTCACACGATTCCCCTTTGGCGACCTTCTGACAAGCAAAGTCAGTGGGGAAGCGAGACTCGCTTAACAACTGAGTTACTCACTTAACAATTGCAAGGGATTCTCTTAACAATGGCGGCGAGGAAGGTCATGAAAAATGCAATAAAGCTCACTTAACTGTCTCACTTAGCAACAGAAATGTTGGGCTCAATTATGGTCATAAATTGAGGACTAGCTGTATAGCCCATTTGGGGTGACCTGTGTCCAGACCAACACACGTGTGTTTGGTGCAGTATGTGACGCAAATGCAGTGTGCTGTATTTCTGGCAAGTTATTCTGAGAAGCCCTGAGAACCATTTCATGCCAGTAAAACCAGGCAGTATAGCAAGTTAGCAAAACTGGGTTTAAGAGGAATCCCACGATCCCCAGCAATTGAAACAGAGCTGAGAAATATGAGGGAAGGAGGCAGAACCAGAAGGCAAGCTGTCAGATGCAGTGTTTTTCAACCTTGACATGTGGGCTTCAATTCCCAGCAAAAACAAACAAACAGACAAATAAATAAGTGATAAACGAACAGAACAGAACAATACAGGTAAGAACAGACCAAAGCTGAACAATACAGGTAAAAACAGAACAATACAGGTAAGAACAGAACAGAACAATACAGGTAAG